ACTTAGGGTTAAGCTTTGTCACTTAGCTGAGTGACCGCTCCAAGAAGTCCGCTACCTTCAGTGCTTATTGAGTGCTTCCTCTGTGCCCGGCATCGCCTGAGGTATGGAGTTGGGTGCTCCTGTAGTGAGAGCAAAGTGCGGGGACAGGTCTGTCTCCAGATAATGGCACCGTCTCACTTTATTTTCCCATTCTCATTGTGGGATACAGTACTTATCTTTTGAGAGTTAGCATAAAGATTTTCATTAGATGCTTCATTGGTTTCTTTCCATGTGAATTGAGTCAGACTATTTTCTGAAATTCGATTTGGATGTTGTGCCGGGACACAGTCAACAAGAATTTGAATGTTTGCTGTATTTATGTGAGTCTCGGGAGAGGCAACCAAAGTGGAGAGGAAGCTTGCTGATTTGGAAAGCTTTATTGTTCTCTCTCCATTTTTAGTGTGGAGAGTTAAAGAAATTCAGTTCTCCAGCCCCATCCTGCCACCTGTCCTTTGTGTCTTCTTAGGTATCATTACTGGTGTGGTTGCCAAATTGAGTTTAGAGGAGGGTTGCTTTGTTAGTGATGGGTCGTACGTGGCTACTGATGCACAAAAAAGCTGCAGGAAGAGATCACAATTTTTTTGTTGCGTTTTGGGGGCACACCCAAGATGTGCTCAGGGCTTACTTCTAGCTGTGTGCTCAAGGGTCCTTCTTTGAGGTGTTCAGACTGAACTGAACCAGCACTGACTGTGTGTAAGGCAAACCCCTTAGCCCATGTATTTCTCTGCTAGTTGATTTTTTTTTTTAGGCAGGTAACTTTAAAGACATATAAAAAATAATAATAATAGCCCTCAGAACCAGAGAGAACAGAGGATAGGGCATTCGCCTCGCATGTGGCCAGCCCAGGTTTAGTCCCTGACACCCCGTTTGGTTCTTTGAGCCCCACAGGAGTGATGCTTGAGCAGAAAACCAGGAGGGAGTGCTGAGCACTTCCAGGTGTGGCCTCAAAACAAACTAGCCCATGAGGCACTTAAAATTTTTTTTTTTATTGAATCACTGTGAGGTGGACCATTGCAAAGCTGTTCATGATTAGGTTTCAGTCATACAGTGTTCCAACACCCATCCCTCCAGCAGTGTACATTTCCCAGCACAAGTGTCCCTAGCTTCCTTCCCATCACCTCCCACCCCTCACCCCCCTAGCCTGCCTCAATGGCAGGAGCTTTTCTTCTCTCTCATGGGGCACTCTTAAATTCGGATTTTTGTTTGTTTGTTTGTTTGTTTTGCAAAATGATGAGGGGATTGGCCTATAACAGCATTCATTTTTGATAGGAAATGCTCAATAAACAAAGACAAAGTCAAAAACTGAATCAGTAGCAGTACAGGAATGCAAAGGACATTGAGAAACACGAGGCTTGGCATGAGCTGTGTGCAGGGAGTCTGGGTACCAATGGGCTCCTTTGGGCTCTAGCATGTGACAGAAGCCACAGCCCTGCGTTAGTGGGCTCAGGCCCACAGGGTGACCGCGTTGCTTGGGTGAGTATTTATTTGGTACAGGCGTGCAGTCTTGGTGGCTGGAAGTTCACTGCAGAGCAGAGCAATAGTCTGGTGCAAGGGGGCTTCTCCAGCTGATGGAAGCTAGAGGACGATGCAGAGCACGCAGGGAAGGCTCATTGGGCAGCATCAAGAGCCCCAGGACCAAAGACCCAGCCAACGTGGTAGTTTAATCAATGCGCCTCTGTGTGGGGGCCCAGCTCGATGCCATTTTAAGGACTGGAGCCAAACAAAGAAACCCAAAACAAACAGTCCACGGTGCCAACTCCCAACTCTGAGAACTTGTGTCATGGTGCACCCAGGCTCCTGTCCTCAGGGCTCAGGATGGAAAGGACCAGAGACAAAGTGGTAGTCAGTAGGAACTTGGGAAAGGGAAGGGAGAGGAAACTGATGTGAGGTCTCTCTAATAGGATGCCTCGGAAATGTGAGGAAACACCTTTTGTAAAGCTTTTACTAGGGCCGAGTGAGTGGGTACGCTTTGCATTGGGTTTAAGGCGTGCAGGAGGGTGAGACAAAGGACTTGGGGAAGAGAAGGAGGTGTGAGAGGGTTCCTGTACCTATCCTGGGCCCTTCTGACGTACTGTACCAGGAATTTCCCTCCCACCTCACTCCCCCTATTTCCATGCTGACCCTGTATCATGCAGTCATTTGGAAATGATGGACGTGGTAGGAACTCTTACTTGCTCAGAAACTTACTCCCATCTTTTCCTTCACTTAAGCGGTCTTGCTCTATCCCGGTTTCTCTTTTGATTAGCATTGAGCCTCTCAAAGAATTTTATGGCCTTTGAATTTAAAAAGCCCAGTTAAATGAATGTACTGAAAAAAGATCAAATCACCCTGTAAATAGCTCACACCATTTTTCTTATTCTCTACAAGAATGGTTTTCCTGTTGGAAGTTTTTTCTATTCCTCAGCAGCACGGTGGAGAGTGGCTCTGTAGAGAGTGGCTTGATGTGCGGCTTCCCCACCTCCTGCCTGCAGACCCCAGCACAGCAGCCTTGTTTTGTTATCTGTCCCCCCGCTCCCGCGCCTCAAAGCCTCCTAGGTGCCAAGGACAATGTGGCGCATTCTCTCTGGAGATAGATGCTAATTGTGCTCTTGGTGGGGACCCTGCTGTCACAGCCACAGTCACTGTGGCCTTGTTGTGCTGAGGGGCTGGCGTGGTGAGTGCTGTTTACTGTTCGCTCTGGCGCCTGCATCTGCGGGTGAGAACATGCAGCCACTGTAATTTGCCTGGCAAGGGATCAAACTGGTATAAAATAACATCATCTGTGATGCAAGTTAGCATTCACAAAGGACGATTGATTTCTTTTTTTTCTTTCTCCGATACAGATCTTTTTTTAATGAGATGCTGAGTAAAAGATAACTGACAACGCGCCCCACGAGAGCAGAGATCAACTCTGTGTGTGTGTGTGTGTGTGTGTGTGTGTGTGTGTGTATGTGTGTTACATCTGAACCCCTAGTGTACTTGGGGATGGGCTTACAGATTTAAAAGCTGTAAAAGAGGGAGCTGGGGTCGGGGGTGCCAGGCAGCCAGGTCTCCCTCAGGGGTGGCATAGAGTGAGAGGAGGAGGTACGGAACCACAGTGAACATCACAGGAAGTCACATGACTGGTGGTGAGGCAGGCAGCTTGGTAGGAGAGGGTCCAGGGCTCGGGAACTAGATTTAGAGACTGTGCCCCCTCTGGAAATGGTGTGGATGCTGAAACACTGCCGTTGTGAGAATGGTGCCAGTGCCTAGTAGTTTCCCCCGTGCAGGGATCCAGAGAACTGTGTCTTTTGGGAATGGGAGGTCCTCAGCTCCAGGTGCTTGCTGCAGTCAGGATACAGATGGGCCTTTCCACAAACCTTTCCATTCAGCAAGGGCCTCAGCACTCCAGTTCTTCTCCACCTGACACCCCCCGCCCCCAGCTGTTGTTTTTACCCTTCTGCTCATTTTATTTTTGTTTTTTTTTATTTTTGACATTTTGGGTCACATCCAGCAATGTTCAGGGTTTACTCCTGGCTCTGTGGACTCAGGAATTACTTTTGGTGGTGCTGAGGGATCATATGGGATCCCGGGGATCAAACCCAGTTCAGCCTCATGCAAGGCAAGTGTCCTATCCACTCTATCTCTTACCCTTAATATGTCTAATCTTAACCTTTAACTGTTACATGAGGAAAACTGGGGACATTGGTAGCCAGAAATGTACATTGGTGAAGAGATGGGAATTAGAACATTGTATGACTGAAACACAATCATGAACAACTTTGTAACTGTATATCTCATGGTGATTCAATAAAAAATTAAAAAATTTTAAATTAACATTTTTAATTCAGTAAAAACTTTTAAAAAGAATATAGCCAAAGGTTTGTGTGTGTAGGGGAGTGGGGGGGGGGGGTAAGTTACATGAGTTCTGTCCTGTAAATAATATGTTTCGGTGCAGAAAATTTGTAAAAGAAATTCTTCATCAGTAGTTACTTCTATACCTGCCATCTATTGCTACCTTTTTTCTTTTCTTTTTTTTTTTTGCTTGAAGTTCCCTTCTGTGATTTTGTTGATCATTTCCCTATATGCTTTGTACCAAAACTAACTCAAGGCCTTACCTCAAGGCTACTTAGATACACAGATTCATTTTAATTTTATTTTATAATTCAGAAATATTTTTGCATTTAAAGTTTTTAGAGAAAATTTTTGGGCAGGAGGTGGGGGGTACATGGGTGTTGGGTCATACTTGGCTCTGCTTAGGGCTCATTCCTGGTGGTGCTCAGGAAACCATATGCTGTGTTGGAATTTGAACTAGGAGGGGCATCATGCAAGGCAAGAGTCTTAATCCCTGTCCAGTCTTTCCAGAGCTAAAATTGTCTTGCCCCACATTTTATGCTAAGAAAGTTGAAAGGGACAAAGTAGAGGACTATGGAAAGGGAAAAAATATAGGACCAAAGAGAGAAAAATATAGTACTGTAGTGAATAGTTATTAATGAGAACATTTCCCACAGCTCCAAAAGATAACATTTTTCTTTTTTTTTTTTTTTAAATTTTGATCTTGTGATACAAAACTCTAAAATCTTTGTGCAGAAACAAAACATCTCTAATGTAGTTATAGCAAGCAAAGTTCCATGACTCTGAAGTCATACTGGCTTTAACCAGGAGGGGAGAGTGGTTTGTTTTCTGAAATGATGCTGGGGACCTTGGACAGTGGTGACGGGGCTGGTGTGTGGTGCTGAGGCAAGGGACCCAGGGCTGGCACATGCCTGGCCCTGGTTTTCTTTTCTCTTCACGGAGATATAGATAAGACTGACTCACAACTAAGTCACAAAATGTGTTTTTAACTTGTTCTCTTTGATTAATGGGAGTCAAGATACTCTTTTGAGATTTTCCTTTTGTCTCTCTCTCTCTTTTTTTTTTTAATGGCTTCCCTCTCCTTGTGGCAAGTCATCCTCTGCTTCCTGTTTGCTAACTGCTGCTGTTTGTTTTTGCCTCTACGACAGCTAACCGATGGCGGAGTCTCTTCTCTTCAAATGTCTCCCTGGCTTTTCCCTATAGTCCTGTTGCAAGACTCAGCCCTTATAGCAATGGCATTAATACTTCCAGCTTCTCTAAAACTTCAAATAAAGCAATACTAACACCTGAACGAACAGGTAATATTTCAACCTCTTGGCTAATGCTTTGCCTTGCCTTTCTCTCGCTAAAGCAAACTTACATGTCCGTCTTGCATTGAAAAGCAAACTTACATGTCCGGCTTGCATTGAAAAGTTGGATGGGGTATCAGCCTTTTGCACTACCCGTGAAAGAGGCCAATGGCTTTCATTTGTTTCTCAGCTCCAGCTGTAAAACATAAAACTCGAGCACAGCCGTGGTGAGTAGGCAGTCTGGCTACACGGAGAGACAAGGTCCCAAGGCCTCAGCGACTTTTAGAATCAAGTGTCCAAGACAGTGCTGGCCGTTCCCATGATGATAAGGCCTTAGAGTCTTGTTTCTCTATGCTTCACTTAAGAGACAGAGATCTCACCATTTTTGTGCCTAGCTGGAGATTGGTTTCCTCCTGCTATGATTTTGCCCCTGGGGTCCTCTCTTCCTTGCCTCACCAGCCACGGCTTCTCCACCTTCAGGTGACTACAAGTCCCCTGTGTCTACTCTACACTTTTTTTTTATACATATGAGTTTGCATATGAGTTTGTGCATCTCATAAGGGACTATTCTTAGCCACATCTAGCAGTGCTGTCTGTACCTGTTAAGTACATCGGTGCTGGCACGTCCCACCTGTGGCTTGAGTGGTACATAACCATGCATGAGGCTTCATGAGCACAGCAGCACCAGCCTCCATGTGTTTTTTTTTTTAAATGTACCAGATGAAATTTTAATGTGTAAATATTTAATGAGCAGCTACCCAGGTGCAAGACGATCTGTGCATTGCCAGTGTCCATGAGTATGTGTTGTTTGCAGGTTTTTCCCTCCTGCCCTCAACTTGGTAGGTTAATTTTCGGGTCTGGGAATGGAGAAGAACAAATTCCAGAGATGGTTGTTGCTTGAGTGGCATGACGATAAAAGGAGGAAACTGCTCACTAGTGCCGATGCTTGTGTTGCAAACCATGGAGACGTATTAGTGCTGTGAGCTAATAAGTGTCTTTCTTTGCTTTCAAGGTTATACCTCCAGGGGGTCCCCCCTCAGTCCCCAGTCATCAATCGACAGTGAGCTGAGCACTTCCGAATTGGAGGATGACTCGATCTCCATGGGTTATAAGCTACAGGACCTCACTGACGTACAGATCATGGCACGTCTGCAGGAAGAAAGTATGTTCTTTTTAAATTCTTAGATAAGGACTCACCAACTCTGCCATCAGATGACTATAAGTCATCTGATGTTCACATATGTTCACAATGTTCACAATGTTCACATAAATTTATTTTCTAGATCTATTGATATTAATATTGCAACTTTGTTATCGAATAGCTTTTAAATCTAGAATTATATCAACCTTGGCCACTTTTTTTAAACATTACATAAGAAATAAAATAAACTAAATGCTTCCACATGAGCTGTTTCAGTGGTCAGGTAGACTTTCGGGAATTCTTCCCCAGGGAAGGTGCAAGTAATTGGATTTTCTCTCATGTACTAGCCTACCTTGGAGTTGGTTAATGTAAATGCTTCTCACATTCTTGTGAGCACTGTAAGGGATTAGGACTTAATTCTGATAAAAACACCTTCATAGGGGCATTGCTGTTGTAGCCACTATGGACACGGGTTGTCAGTCTTTAAAAAAAAATCTAAATTTGAGGGAGCTGAAGCAATAGTACAGCGGGTAGGGCGTTTGCCTTGCACCCAGCCGATCCGGGTTCTATTCCCGGCATCCTTGGGTCCTCTGAGTACAACCAAGAGTAATTCCTGAGTGCAGAACTAGGAGTAATCCCTGAGCATTGCTGGGTATAACCTAAAAAGAAAAAAAATCTAAATTTGAAATTTCTGCAAGGACTGCAAATTGCATTTATGCTTAATCCCAGGTGAATGGACATTTTTGTTCATACACAAAGACCATGGATGAATGTTCCTAGGGGCTTTGTAATAGCAGAAACCAGACCTAGCTCAAACATTGCTTAGTGGGCAAATGGTTAATCGAGCAGTGGTATATCTGTACCATGAAGTATTATTGATCAGCAAGGAATGAATTAATGACGCACATACCATTTCAGATGCATCTCCAGAAAATTATGCTGAGTGATAAAGATGATCCCAAGAGATTGTGTACCGTCTAATCCCATTTGGATCAAAACATTCTGGAATGATGAAATTTTAGAAAGAGATTTGTAAGTTAGTGGTTAGTGGTTACTGGGGATTAGGGACAGGCTTTCAGATGGGAAGTGGGTTGGTTATAAAATGACAACCAACACAAGGGATTTAATATAAATGTTTGCAACTGTTTAGTACCTCTGTGTACTGTTATACCTTGCTTCAGAGGCATTCAGTATTTTGACTAATGGTAGATATATAAATCCTTTGACAATAAAATTATATTGATCTTAATGCTAACACTCATTTATGAATAAAACTGAAGATCTAAATAAGATCAATTTGTATCACTTCCAATCTTCTGATTTTATTCTATAATTTTGTAAATATTACCACGGGTAACAGAGGTCACTGGACAAAGGCACAAGGAATCTCCAAAATATTTCTTAGTATTACATGTGAATTTATATCTATAGCCCCAAGCTACTGAAATACTGATGTGTCAGTATGCTTAAAAAAAAAAGATATTAGTAACAAGTGAAAAAAAGAGATGACCTTCTTAGAAAAATACTTGTGTGTAAACTCACACAAAAGGGGCACGGCACCCCACAGCAGCGGTGGCTGTAAAAGACTGTTTACAGATAAACACAATGTGGTGGAAGTGCCTCAGGAGCACTGTGATGAGTGTAACCAGATTGATGGGTGTAACCAGATAAACCTAAGCTTCTTGTAGAAGGACAAAGCAATGTTACCCAACATCTTGTACTCTAGATTTTAAACTTCTGTTTGGTTTTTCAAAGTTGGGCTGGGGAGAGGAGCTCTTGGTTGGGCAGAGGATTGATTGTCTCAGTCGACTAACTTGGCAAAGTATAAAGATTTTCCTAAGATATCTTCCCAAGTATCTTTCTAGATTTCAAAAGGAATTATTTGGGGCAAGTGGCTAGACATGGGTTGGTAACCTAGAGCATTGTATAGAATCCTAAGTGGAATCAGGGGGAAGCTTTCACAAATTAATTCTCAAATGACTGTTGTTTTACATTTTACTTGTTTAGAAGATAAATCTATCTGATTTTTTGAGAATTAAAACAAAACTGTGGATTTCAATTTGAATAATTTCTTCCAAACCAGTTTTTTATTTTTTTGCAGATTTTTGATTACCATGAACTTAACTTTTTTACCTTGTTCACATGCGCCATGAGGTAACAATTTCCTATTATGTTTGTAGGTCTCAGGCAAGATTATGCTTCTACGTCAGCATCAGTGTCAAGACACAGTTCCAGTGTGTCCTTGAATTCGGGAAAGAAGGGGACTTGCAGTGATCAAGAATTTGATCGCTTTAGCCTGGAGGATGAGGAAGAATTTGATCATTTGCCACCACCCCAGCCTCGCCTTCCCAGGTGTGCAACTTTCCAAAGAGGAATCCCCCATTCCCAGACTTTCTCCAGCATCCGGGACTGTCGAAGGAGCCCCAGTTCCCAGTATTTCCCTTCCAGCAGTTACCAGCAGCAGCAGCAACAGCAGTATTACTCACCTCAAGCCCAAACTCCAGATCAGCAACCAAATAGGACTAGTGCAGGTAAGTCGTTGTACTTCCTTGGTAGGTGATGTGTCTGTCACTGTGAGATGGTTCAAAGGTCAAAAAACACATAACTGGTCAATGTACCTGGGATTTACAGTACATTTTCCAGGCCTTAGCAGTCTGGTTGAAATTTCAGTTTGTGCTAACTGGCATCTCTCTAACCCCAGTTCTATATACTTGAACTCTGAGAAAACTCAGTGGCCTGGTGAGCCCAGAGTGAATATTACGGGTTCAGGGCACCTCCCTGTTGTAGCTGTGGGGCCGAAGGACAGGTCAGGCGAGTTGAGCTCCTAGCAGAGCACCAGGTAATCAGGCCATGAGCCACCTCTCTACTTATCCTTCCTGACCTTCAGGGGCTTCCTCTGTGTTCCCCGAGGGGTGGTTGGGAAGCTTGGGTAACCATGCTTGAAGGCAGTGCCACTTAATACATCCACATTTGGAGGAAGCTTGGATGTATCTTTGCCTCATGTTTCCTGCCATCTGCAGTTGAAAACCATGTGGCAGCAGGGATGTGAAGGCTGCAATTTGGTGTGGTTCAGGAGACTTGTTTGCCCTGATGTCAACACGATGGGTAGGGTTATGGCTTTTGTTCATCTTTTCTTCCTCCCACCCCTGGCCCCAGCCTCCCTATTTATCATTTGCTTTCCTTCTCTACTCTTTGAAGTTAAAATACTGAACTACCAAGAACTATCAAACTATATGCGATACGCAAATCCTGGTATATATTTGTATTAATGTGGTCATGCAAACAGCATGTAATAGGGAGAAACCAACCATATTTTTAGAGCTGTAGCTTCTAATTATGATGGAGTGCTGTTTCTCTAAGTTGTGCCCAGAAGTGATCAAACAAGGTTATTTAAAAACATTGCCCAACCACATACAAATTGTGTTTGTAATTCCCTGCTAACTTATTTTTAGTTTCTCTGTTTCTTTCCCTTCTTGTCCTTAAAGCAATTCAGGCCAATAGAGCATTTGAAAACACTTCGTTTTCTAGTTACAATTTCTCTTTCAGATTTCAAAGTGAAAAGAAAATAGCTCATCTTATCAGGGAGACCTTGTATTCTGGGTGCTGGTTTAGCATCGTGCCTCTAAGCCTTATTCTTTTCTTTTCTTTACGCATTCTAGAATATCATATCCTAGTTGCCAAGCAGATGCTTGCCGTGTGGAGTGTCTGCATTGTCGGTGGGACCATTGTTCTGCCTTAGATGGAGTGGACTTGCACATGACTGACTCTCACCTCTTCGGTCAATCCCCACCACAGAGGGTTCCCTGTTACACACTTGAGGACCACCCCTAGCCCTCTGAACACAGTTGAGTGTGGCCTAAACCCCCCAAATATTTAAATAAGTGAGAAGTGTGTGTGTGTGTGTGTGTGTGTGTGTCCATGTGCCTGTGTGTATGTACACATATATACTGCTTCACAGCTCCTACAGCTGCCTTGGTTTATAAGAAATGGTTCTCAAAATTTCTTGGGACATCTGATGGAATGACAGAATTAAAAGGGACTTGTTTGGAATAATTTACAGGTCACTGTCAGTGTCACTGTCATCCCGTTGTTGATTGATTCCCTTGAGCAGGCACCAGTAACATCTCCATTTTAGCAAGTGCCACATTGGAGACGCTTTCAGGGTCAGGGGAATGAGACCCATCATTGTTACTGGGTTTTGGCATATCAGATACTCCAGAGAGAGTTTGCCAGCCTCTGCCATGTGGGCAGGGTACTCTCGGTAGCCTGCTGGGTTTTCCTAAAGCGAGAAGTAGACAATAAGAGGTCGCAGCCATGCACTTCTGGGAGTTTGGTTTTATAGTCTCTGGGTCTTGGCTATTGATGGGATTGCACAGCGCTGGGGGCAGTTGGTGGGTGTAATGCTTAGCTACTGGAAGATGGGGATCTGGGCGGAGTAGGCCCAGTCTTGATCTGAGAAACCTTGGAGATCTCAGCCCTGGGTCCTGCACACCTGGGTTCCTCTGCAGGTAGGAGACTTATTAGCTCATGGGGTGCATAGTGACTGTGATATTCAGGGGATGACTGTTCTCCACACAGAAAATGCTACCAGAGCACCGTGGATCATTAGGCAACTGATTTTCAGTGAACTTTTGCTTACATTCAGGATACTTCTATAGATGCTAACTTTTTCTCAACCCTGACATTCAGGCATGTGACCTTACAGTTTATGGGGTCAGGAGGCCTCCCCTTGCCCTATGTTGATGAGGAGGCTGCCCGCAGCAGGTTGGTGGGGAACTGAGCATGGCCCATCCTCACCCAGTGGTGTCATTAGCTAGAAAGCCTTCATTTTAGTTTCTTTTTTCTCAATGATATCATATATTTTCTATTTGTTAGCTGCCATTCTTAATTTTATTTTTCATTTTTATTTATTTTTTGGACTCACCAGGAGATACACAGTTACAAAGCTATTTATGATGGGGCTTGAGTTATAAAATGTTCTAACACCCATTCCTCCACCCATGTATATTTCCCATCACCAAAGACCCCAGTTTCCCTCCTGCCACCCCTCACCCCCAGCCTGCCTCTGTGGCAGGCACTCTTCTTCTCTGTATGTGTCTCTGTCTCTCTCTTTCTCTTCTCCCTCCCTCCCTTCCTCCCTTTCTCTCCTTTTGGGCATTATGGTTTGCAACACAGATACTGAGAGGTCATCATGTTTGTTCCTTTATCTACTTTCAGAATGCAGTTCCTATTCAAGTGATCATTTGCAACAATCTTTGTTGTAGTGGCCCCTTCTATATCCCTTTTCCCCATGCACTTAAAGTAGGTGGAAGCCTTTGGACACATATGGTTGAGGTTTAAAGATAGACCTGTGGAGGGCCAGAAAGATAGTACAACGGGTAGGACTCCTGCACACAGCCAGCCCAGGTTTGATCCCAAGCATCCCATATGGTCGCCTGAGTGCCAGTGATTCCTGAGCATAGAACCAGCACTTAGCCCCGAGTACAGTTAGGTGTAGCCCCCCAAACCATATATATATATATATATATATATATAATATATATATATATTATATGCGAATGAATAAAATGTTTATTGCAGGGTATATGCTTATTTAATTAAAAAATTGAAATTGATAATACTTATGATAAAGTTTGTAATCACCACATGACTAGAAAACCCCAGCGGCTCTTTCTCGCTGCTTATATTCAGTGGTCTCGGGTCTCTCTCCCACCGGGGAGAGCTGATGCCATGGGTGGACGAAGGAAGAAACGAGGGCCCAGGCTCATTGGTGATCAGTTGCTGTTTATTCCTTTCTCCCCTCGCGCTTGTTCTAATATCCCTAAGCCCCTCATTCTAGTCTCACACTGCCCCTCATTCCCGTCTCCTCCTGTCTCTCCCACTCATCTCTCCCCACTCCATCTGGTAGCCTTGGTCTCTCCCCAACTCCCCTGCATTGGGGTAGCAGAATCAACATATCAAAGCCCTTCCTGATCCAATCAGGGTCAAGGGTGTAAATACCACCTAGGGGTGTTTCTCCTCTTCTTAGTCCAATAACTTAACATCTTAATTCTACTTTTCAATATTAGTTATTTTGTATGGACACAGTAAGAGCTACATTAAGCTTGTAGCGTGGCTCTCCTGGGAACATCTCGATATAGATCTCAGACTACAGTGCTTAGGTCAGATTAATCTTTCATAACCGTAGGAGGGTCCTAGTCTAGTTGTTACTTTTTTGGATCATGACAGAATTTGTCCATGACCATGCTCTTATAGTTAAGTATTATGATCCTTTGGCCTGACCCATTTTGATGCCAGGGTAGTTCACAGCTTGCCCTGGGTCCATCCAGTCTCTCATCGGGACCCTGCTTTGCTCCGCGCAGAGCCAGGAGTAAGGCTTAAGTGGAGAGAACAGATGTCCAAGAGTGAATATCATTTGGAGTTAACTCCCAAGTTACAAAAGCATAGCATTAACTGTCTTCTTGTGCCTATACAAAAAGGACATTGCTCTGAATTAACTATGCAAAGCACTTCAGGAGAAGAGAAAAGCAATATTTACAAGTTAACAGTCTGATTAGGAGATAAAAGTGATTGACAGTTGGGGAAGCAGAACACAAAGAAAGAGGTTACAGAGCACTGTGATGGGAGTAACCCAGTAAACCAAAGTTTCCTGTGGCAAAGCAGAAAGGACAAACCAATGTTATACTATAATATAGAATAAATAGGAATAAACAGTAGCCACACAGCCAGCTCTAAAGTGGCTTGGATAATGGTTTGATTGGATAATGGTTTGCAGGGCAAGTCTTATAGAAGACATTCTTAAGGACCTAAAAGAGAATAACATGGATGGGGGCACTTGCTTTGCAAGCTGACCTGAGTTCAGTCTCCGCCAGGGACCATGTGGTCCCCTTAGCACCGCCAGGAGTTTTCCCTGAGCGCAGAGCCAGGAGTAAGCCCTGAGCATTTGCAGGTGTGGCCCATCTTCCCAAAGATGAAATTGTTCCCTTTGGGACAAAACAGAACTTGAGGTAATTAAGTTAAGTGAAATATGTAAGGCAGTGACACAGTTACCAAAATGGTTTCAGTCACCTGTGGAATGCAGCTAACTGAAGCAAATGAACAGGCAATGGGCAAGCCTCCTGGATTCAGTGACAACTCAGGTATTTAACTTGAGGGAAATGGATGGGTAGAGGGGTCGGGTAGAGGGGTAATTCTGTTGGGGAGAAGTCACTGGCACTTCCGGACTGGTGGCTGAGGAGAATCCTGGAGACACACAGTCGTCAAGTTCAAGTAGAGAGGTGTTTTTATGTTGCAAACTAGTGACAGAGTGCACAACAAAAACAATACACCGTCAAAATAACATCACCTTGGATTGACAAGAGACATATTTTCATGCCAGCTATTGTGATGTTAAATTGTCTTTGGAAAATGGGTTGGAGGGACTAGCTGGGATGAAGCTTTAAGAAAATGTGGGTGAGCCTTAATGAGATCCAGCTGATTTGGCGACAGAAAAATCAGTGGGTACGGGCCAGGCAGCCTTTACAGGGTTTGGGGGGCTCAGGGCACGTGAGGGAGGAGGTTCTCCAGACCTCTGGTGATGTGAGGTCATCTTCTGGGCTGCAATCTGGGAATCAGTGTGACACCTGGCCGTGAAGCAGAGTGAGAAATAGATCTGGTTGGGGCTGAATTACCAGATAGAGTCTTTGTTTTCGAAGCTGGAGTGACCCGATTTCTGTGAACCTTAGCTCTTGGAGTGCCATTTGTGTCAATGAGGGGAGAAAGATCATGTCACAGCCTGGCCCTTGCCACAGCCTTGTGGCAGATTCCAAATCTCAGCCATGCCCAGGTCTCTGCCGGGCTCTGCTGCCCTCTGGTGGTTCATGGTCCTCCTCGCTATGCGGAGAAGGAGCCGGAGGCCTCTGCCAGGGCTTTCAGCCTCCAGCCTTATCCATGCAGATGCAAACAAGAGACTATAAAAATGCAGATCCCGGAGAACGCTGCAGTCTTTTGCCCCCGAGCCTGGGTGTCCCTTGCCGGGACCCCTTGGAGGGGAGCGGGTTGAGCTTTCCTCCCCGCCCCGACCCGGGCTACAGCAGCCGAAGACCTTCAGGACCAGCCACCACCATGCTGAGACCACTCTCCGCACACATGAAGGTACTGGCAGAGGGACAAAGCCACGCGGGTTCCGGGGCTGAGACCTCCAAGCCTACTCGGATTGGAGTCGAGCATCTTCCATCCAGATCCTCCAAATTCCAGCAGGCGGGGGTCACACCCACCACCTGGCCCCCTGGCGCCGTGTAATCCCATCAGCGGCCAAGACTCAGAGACTATAAAATGCAGATCCCGGAACCGCGCGGCCGCATTCGCGGCCGCACGACATCTTTTCAAAACTTTTTTTTATGACATCTTATTATCTCATTCCTACTTTGGACAAACTTGCAGGCTATCGAATGTAGCCTGCCCACAGGGCAGAGTCTGGCAAACTCCCCGTGGCATACCAAATATGCCAAATACCAGTAATAACGATGGGTCTCATTCTCCTAAAGAGCCGTGAATATAATCTCAGGGCTAGGATGAAAGAGACGTTACTGGGGCCTGCTCTAGGCAATCGACGATTAACAGGATGATGAAATGAAATGAAATGAAATGCAAACAATTTTCACACACGTCTGCTTTGTTGGGCATCAGCTCAGTAATGGGGCGATGAATAGCTCAAAACACAATGTTAGAGTTTGAGTAATTTTCTCCATTTTGATCACTTGAACACTTGATATCCTGTTACTCATCAATTTGCTTGAGCGGGTGCCAGTAACGTCTCCATTCGTCCCTGTTGCACGCTAGTGTAGCCCAATGGCATCTGCTCGTTCTAGGAACACAAAGAGCCTCAAAATGATCGTTCAGGGTCTTGATGAAGAAGTCTGACCATCTCATAGGTGGGCGGCCATGCAATCTTTTGACGTCCCGTGGAATCAAGTCAGTAATGGCTCTGTCCAGCAGTCATCTCCAAATCTCATTACGTGTCCAGCCCATCTGATTTTCGACACCTTTGCAAGCGAGACAGCATCCCTGATTCTTGATCATCGACGGAGGTCGGAACTCCGGATTCTTTCTCTCATTTGAGTGAAGCATGATGCTCCAAGCATTAGCTCTTTCGATTCCTCTTTGGGAGACCCGAATAGCGTTCTCATCCTGTTTTTGTAGGGTCCAGGTCTCTGAGGTGCCATGTTAATGCAGGAAGAACAGTGGAATTGAAGATATGTGCCTGGAGCTGGAGTTTCTTCGTCCTCTTAGCTATTTATTTGATGTTCTTGAAGGCATTCCAAGCCGCTCTCATCCTCCTGCACAACTCAGGTGCCAGGTCATTCCTGGTCCACCTCCATTACTTCCATTTTGATAAATGTTGGTTTTGACTCTCCTAGGTCTTTTAAAATCATTATTAATTTGTAAAAGTGTCTAATGTTTTCCCATGTCTTTTCACATGCCTGTATTTACGACCTTTGATATAATTCCATTCACTTGCTATATAGACATGAATGACAAATCAATTCACTGATTTCTCTTTTTCTAGAAATGTGTTTTCTTTGAAGTCTGCTTAGTGGAATCTGTTAGATGTTAAGTGTTATCCACAGGACGTTACTTTTATGTAATGCATGCGGTTACTGTTATTGAACCAAATAGGGTTGTTTGCTTTTTTTTTTATTTATTGACTCACCATGAGAACAGTTACAAAGCTTTCGTGTTTGAGTCTCAGTTGTACAATGATCAAACACCCATACCTTCACCAGTGCACCTGTTCCACCACCAAAAACCCCAGTATAACCCCATCCCACTCCTACCCCTGCCTGTGTGGCAGATAATTTCCACATTGCTCCCTCTCTATTTTGATCACATTCAGTATCCCGACACCAGTTCCACCATTATTATTTTCAGTTTTCCCCCAACACTCAGACCTGCCGAAAAGGCAGCATTAGACAAATTGTTTTCTGTTGTTGATTATGAATAGTTTATGATGTCACGCGGCCACTCTTATAGTCATGTGATCTTGGAATTCTAAAATTTTAATAATTAGGTCTGGAGAGATTTCTGCCAAGAGCCGCTTGGTTCCGAGATTCATTTGTGTGTCTCTGGGATCATGGTCGTTAAGGAGCTTAATAAGTATAGCTGGGTCGGAGGTTGGGGGCTTTCATGGGCAGCATCTCAGAGTCCTGTTGGAGCGGGGGAGGAGAAGGACTGGCTTCTCCCCTGTCCTGTGAACCCGGCATCTGTCATCACTGCTGGCCCGTACCTGGATTTTCCAATGAATTCTGGAAGATGGTGGCCACTGGGATCCCCAGGGAATAGGCAAAGGGACAGCATCCACTCCCATCTGCAGTGGCTAGGAGAAGGTGGCCTATTGCAAAGTCCAGAGGCATTTCTGCCAAAAGCCGCTTGGTTCCAAGATTCATTTGTGTGCGGGGTTGTTTGTTTTTGAAAATGAGTGTTTTGATGGCTCTCAGCTGCATGGATTCTAACACAGTCCTATTCTCTTCTCATCTAGACAAGCTCCGGAGAAGCATGCCCAACCTTGCCCGCATGCCCAGCACCACCACTGTCAGCAGCAGCGTCACTTCTCCAGTCACCGTGCGAAATAGTCAGAGTTTCGACTCCAGTTTGCACGGAGCTGGAAACGGAATTTCAAGGATACAGTCTTGTAGTAAGCATGACCGTTTTTGCTTTTTTTTTTTTTTTTTGGTTCGATTTTAGTCCATTGTAACAGGATTAGGGAAAATATCTCACTGTTCATCCCTTCCTCCCCCCACCCCCTATCTTCGCCCCCAATAACGTAACAAAAAGTTTCTCTTGATGGCATCTGTTTAATTTCATCATAATCGTGAGCTATTTTTCACTTGTGCCTCTATAACCAATCAGGAGGGCTGGAGCGATAGCACAGTGGTAGGGAATTTGCCTTGCACGCAGCCAACATGGCCAACCCAAGTTCGATTCCTCCGCCCCTCGGAGAGCCCAGCAAGCTACCGAGAATATCTCGCCCGCACGGCAAAGCCTGGCAAGCTTCCCGTGCTGTATTCGATATGCCAAACACAGTAACAAATGTCACAATGGAGACTTTACTGGGCCCACTCGAGCAAATCGATGAATAACGGGAGGACAGTGACAGTGACAGTGAACCCATCAGGAATTAGTGAATTAGCGGCCAGAGCAAGAATAAAGCAGGTAGGGCGCTTTCCTTACATGCAGCTGACCTGGATTCAATCTTCAGCATTCCAAATGGTCTCCCAAGCCCTTACTGGAGTAATTCCTGACCTCAGAGTCAGGAGTAAGCCCTGAGCATTGCCAGGTGTGGCCTTCAAGCTAAAAAAACAAACCAACAAACCCAATTAGTAAATTCAATGTAATCATCTGTCTTTGAGGGAAGCAGGAGAAATTCTACGTGGAGGTTAATTTGCCCACTCAGCAGACAAAGATGTTTTCTTGGCAGTTCAGTCTCTTCATTGCTATTTATTTGGTACCTTTGTTCTGAAGAGAACATACTTGTACTGTTTACCTGTTGCTTTGGGTTTTATTCATTTCCCCTGCTCCCTTTTTAGTGCTAACGTGGGTTCTGTCAGCCTCAGTTCCCCCGTCCCATACAGTCTACTCTTCTCTGCACCTCACCCAGCACTGGCACTGGATGAGCTCAGTGGCTGTTCAACCTGGGTTCTTCTAATCCTTTTGAGTGGGCTTTCCCATCCATGGCCGCCCAGTCTTACACTGTTGATGTATCTGAAGTAAAGCTGATGCTTCCCAGGGAGCAGACTCCAGGCCTCCAAGGGTCAGGCCCAATACTGACCTGCCCAGACCTGGGATACCAGCAGCATCAGCCCAATGCTTGGTGGCTAGTTTGATTCCCTTTTTCTTAGCTCTAATTTTGGGGTGCAAGTGGCATTTCCCCAACACATGATTGGCTTTTGTTCTTTTGCCTAAATTCTTCGGGGCAGAATGGCATTTTTTTCCCAGCAGAAGCATTGGACTGACTGGATTGTATTCGTTTTTTGACTCTGTTTTGACGGCAGCCTGACCAGCTAGTTTCGGGTGGTCCTGTTTTAAAAATGAAGAACCTGTTTTAGCTGCTGGGTTTTTAGGTGCCTCTCCCTGCAGTGCTCAGGGGACCGTGTAGTGCCCGGCATAGTTTGCTGGCCTGCTGTCCACAGAGCATGTGTGCCAGTCTGTTGAGCTCTTTCTCCCACCAATGAGTCCAGAGAGGCTGGGAAACTGTCTAGTCCAAGGGCATGGAAGGAAAGGAATAGAGATGGAAAGATTCTTCTTCCTCTTCCTCATTCACCCGCCTCCTTCTTCGTCATATATACTCCTGCTTAGCTTTGTAATTCACCCAAATACCAGACCCTTTGAAAAGCTCCTTTGATGACTCTCATAGGTGCTCCTGGTATGGAGTTTGGTGCTTATCTGTTAACTTCCTATACCCAGCTATGTCTCTTCCATATAAGATGTCCATTGTTCCCTCTGGCTTTAGACCTGAGTTTTACTTATCTTTCTGTTCTAGGGGTCTGGCACGTAAGGAGCTCTCAGTAAAGATTTGAGTAAATAAGATACACACACACACACACACACACACACACACACACACACAGGGTTGTATTGTAGGCCTTGATCTGCTGATACTGGAATTAAGTTGTGGAAAGGCAGAAAAGAGAATCTATGAATTCCGCTAATGGTGGGAAACCGAGCTACTTTTAGTTAAGGAGATTCAGACAATAGATCAAATGCTTCCTGATGAAATTTCACTGAGGTTGATAGTCCATTCTGAACCTGATCACAAAAGTTAGTGGTGTGAGTGTAGAACGGGGAAATTAACTGTTTTGATGGCACCAGAGGTATGATAATTGTGAAGAAAATCATTAGTAGCGATTAGTTCAGGAAGGATTAAAAAGATAATTTGAGAAAAATACAGGAAATGCAAGAAAGAAGGAGCTGCACACTTCAGAGAATAGCCAGTTTTCTGCTAAAAATTGCTGCGAGTTCATAAAGTGATACAGGAAGCAACTTGGAAGATGCTCTGAGCGAGCTCATTGGAGCCATGGAATAATGCCAGTGATGGATTAGAGCCCGTCAGATGCAACCAGGAGCCAGGGGCTGAGTTTCCGTGAATAAGTAAATGGGGATGAGTTCCATGCGCCAGTTGAAGGCCTGGGTTGGTGGTAAGCAGAAAACAGCCACTTTTCCTCTTACTATGAACTGCACGGAATAATCTTTGATGTCCTGGAAGAAAGATTCGTGAGGCTCCCAAGTTTCTGTCCTTGGTTACCTGTGTGCCTGGAAGCTCTATGCCAGGCGTGAGGCGTTTTTGGGAGATGAAGCTTTGGTACGCAGAGAGGGCCCCTGTTCAGAGTTTTCTGCCCCGTGATGGGGGAGATAACCCTTGCTGGCACTTGGCAAGTGGGTGCCAGGCACCATTGTCCAGTTTGATGCCAGAGTGATTGGTCAGACTGATTGGCTGATATCCCATCAGCCCTCTGAAACCGCATCTTTCCAGCCCACCCATGCCACCCTCATCTTCCCTGTCCATTGTTGGCCCCAGTTCTATTTTCCGTAAAGGCGTGCTTACCACAGCTGAAAGGGCCCAGTGGCCTGAGGGCCAGCAAACAAGCGGCTGCCCCAGGAAAACTCTGAGACAGGTTTGTGAGCAGAAAGACAGGAGGCAGCTCTGGGAACTGGCTCCCAAGTCGAGTCAGGCACCCCGAAAATATTGCTGGTGCACAGAAGAATTCCAGTCAAGGATGAGAATTTGCCTGGGGCCAAATGCTGGCCAAAAGTGGATGTCTGGGATCTGGGGATCTGATACCACCTCCTCCATTGCATGGTTAGGGTGGCCTCTATCTCTTTAGCTCAGCAGAAAGTGCCGTGTCTGACATCCTCTCTCTCTCTCTCTCTCTCTCTCTCTCTCTCTCTCCTGCCTGCCATCCCTCCCTCCTCTCCTCTCTCTCTTCCTCCCCCCCCTTTCTCATGTCCCTTTCTCCTCTAGTTCCATCCCCAGGGCAGCTGCAGCACCGGATCCACAGCGTGGGGCACTTCCCGGTATCGGCCCGGCAGCCCCTGAAAGCCACAGCCTATGTGAGCCCCACGGTGCAGGGCAGCAACAGCTTGCCCTCGTCCAACAGTGGCCTGCAGCTCTACCCATCCACGGGCATCCCTGCCCCCAGCAAAGCCGCGTCCTCTGGGATCGGGCCCCGCAGCTCGCTTCCCAGACCCTCTTTGGCAATAAATGGAAGTAACCTGCCTCGAAGCAAAATTGCACAGCCTGTGAGAAGGTGAGAAGGCCCCCCCTCCTTCCCCTCACTCCCCACAAATCCCTCTCAGCTCCCAGAATCACCAACCTCAGTTTTCCTTTGGCTCAGGCCAACTTTAGGTCCCAGGTCCCCCTTCCCAGCACAGGCAGCTTGGCAGCTGGTCTTCTGTTGGTAGGCCATGGGTACCCATCGTGTGGTCAGCACCACCTTTCTTTGATCTCATCTGTTTTGGCTTTAATTTAGCTAACCAAGGCTTTGAGGGTTCCCTTTTCTCAAGTGATTTGCCTCTCTGCCCCCTCTTATACTTGGGTTGGCTGAGATCAAATCTCCGGCCAAAGCTGCAGCTCCTGCGACAGGTGGGGCTCCCTTCAGCTCCCCCTTTCCCATCTCCACAATCTCATGGATCACCATCTGACAGACTGGATGGATGGGTGGATGGATGGTTGGGTGGATGGATAGATGGAGGGAAGGGTGGATTGATGGAAGGGATGGATGGGTGGATATATGAATGATAGAATGGAGGGTTGGATGGATGGAGGAAAGAAGAGGTGGATTGATGGGAGCGTGGGATGGGTGGATGGATGAATGGGTGGGTACGAGGTGGTTGGATGAGTGAGAGGGAAGGGTGCATGGGTGGATAGATGAATGGGTGTTGGAGGATGGATGGATGTGTGGGTGGGTGAATGGGTGAATGGATGGGTGGGTAGGTGACTGGGTGGATGTAGGGTGGGTGTTGGTGGATGGATATATGGATGTGCGGGTGAGTGGGTAGATGGACGGATAATGGAAGTATTGGTGGATAGATGGATGGGTAGCTGGCTAGCTGGATGCTAATTAATGTATGGTCTGATTTACCTTATTAAGATGTAAACTCCTTGTGGATAGGCTGGGGAGTTAATATATGTCCCTCATACCGAGAACTATGCATAGCACAGGATAGGTTTACAAGTATTGGTTGAATCAGTCATATTTTTAAGTTTTTTCTCTTAAAAAATTTAAAATGAAAAATATTAGACATTAATATTAGATTGTGATTTACATAGTTATTCATAGGCGTTTTAGGAGAACAGTGTTCTAGCACCAATCCCACCACCAGTGTTCATTTCCCTCCAGCAGTGGTCCATGTTCCCTCCCAGGCCCCAGTCTGCCTCTTCAACAAGCACATTTTGAAATTTGATGTTGGTTATTAAAAACAATAATAATAAGCAAAATGAGCAAAAACTGTTTTGAATGTGTATGTACACACATGCATGTTCCACTCACATAGGAAAAGCACCTTGTGACATTTAGTTGGAGGCTTTATTAGTTATGTTAAGTTTAGGTGACATTTTTTTTCCCTCCAAAAGTCCAGATTTCTTCAAGGTAACATTTTATTTATTTTTATATTTTTGTTTTGGGGCCACATGCGGCTGTGCTCAGGGCTTACAATTGGCTCTGCAATCAGGGATCTCTCCTGATGGTGCTCTTAGGACCATATGTGATGCCACTTTGGGACCCAGCCAGGATTGGAAAGGCAAGAGTCCTGCCTCTGCTAGTTCTCTGGCCCCAGCAGGTAGCATTTTTAGCATAATATGTACTCATCAGAAGTTTGGAGTAGCTTATGACTATTTAAAAAAAGAAAAAGTGTAAATGTGTGTTGACGAAAGCTTAGAAAAAGAGAAAATGAAGATAGTAAGTGCACGTAACTCAGAAGAAATTAAGATATGAAGGAGGAGCTGAAGAGAGCCTTGGGAAAAGTTTGAAAGTGGGAATAGTTAATTTTCTTTCTCTCTGCATCTACGTGTATAAGTAGGGGTGCTTTCCTGCTTTCTGATTAGAATAGGTGTTCAGATAAAAAAAATAATAAATTCTCAGAAGCTGCTGAGGAACACAAAGTAAATAAAGACTAGCTTATAACCTTTCTCCCCAGATGGAAAATTATTGTGATGTGTGTTTGTTCAATAAATTTCACCTTACCACCCTGCCCCATTTCCCCCCACCCCCCACCTCCCCCACCCCCGTAAATGCAGAGCTGCACTGTACTTAAGATTGAATAACGTTGCACATTTACTGTGTATGGGTTATTGTGAATCATCCATTAATCTTTTGGATACATGTCTCCATGTTAATCTACAAAAGTTGTCACTGCCAGAACATAATAGGGGGTCTGTTTCCCTAACTAGAGGCAAACACCAGCAATCATCATTCTTTTAACATTCTTTACCAGTAGGACAGGCAACTGCTTGTCGGGGCAAAACTGATTCGTGTTGAACTTGCCACCTTTGCACTCAGTGAAGTTGCCCAATTCATGTACCTGGGTCATTTTTCAGTTAGGTTGTTTTCTTTCTTTCAAAGTAGTCTTTGCTTATTAACACTGTTGGCTGCTTTTCACTCCTGATGCAAGTCTGCTTGTACATGCACATATATCCTGCCTGGAATGATGTGTGTCCTGAGGACTAATGTCCATACAACTGTCTGAAAACTGAGTTTCTAGCAGATGCTGAGACTCTCAGCAGAATGTGCTGAGAGGATGCCTGGGTGCTCTGGGAGGGACCCAGCAGGTGCTCTTGGAGAGGAGAGTGGGCAGGGCAGGCCAGGGGCAGTGAGGACTCAACAGCCTGTTAATGACCTGTTTCCTTTTATCATCCCCTCTAGTTTCCTTCAGCCTCCAAAGCCTCTGTCTTCGCTCAGCACTCTGAGGGATGGAAATTGGAGAGATGGTTGCTACTGATGCTGTTCTATTCTGCCCTTGGAGTGCGGAAAGGAAGTGTGGAAATGAGGGTGGTGTTACCTAGCGGGCTGGGTAACAGTGGGTGTCGGGGATATTCTTTCCCTTTTGCATTTTAACATTACTGCATTGTTTTTCAATGGACCAATCACCAGAGACTAATTATTGCACTTAAATATTTGCCTGAGGTACTGCAGCATTCTCCAAACCCACAATTGCAGTATTGTGACACTTAGATCTAGGAAGTTTTTGTAGAACTGCTACGTATCTGGAATACTTTTTTTGAGAGAATCAAGATGTATCAGTAATTCTTTCTTTGCCATATGATTTTTTTTTTAAAGAAACCTGTTCACTGTACTTACATGTTCTAAACATCTTCACATTCCATGTTCTGTATTTTAATACTCTGCATATCTACCACTAGGTTCTATGATACATGCTTTGGACTTTACTTTTTTATAGTTTACAGGAATTTTTATTTTTTGTGCCTATTTCTTTTTACACCTATGTGAACCATGACGAAACACCTTAAATTTTGTGCCATAAAAATATTTTTGTGGTAAGGTACTATTTTTTTAGCTCTAGCGATATATCAACAAAAATTCACCATTCCAATTTGAGAGACACAATGTTATGTTGAAAGAGCACAACATAATCTGAAGCATTGCCAGGAGATAGCCAGACAGCAGTTTTTAAGTTTCGTCATTTTCATTATTAATTTATTGTCATACCTGGGTTTCATATTTTACAGTGGCATCACAGGCTCAATGAACTCAGTACCTGCGATGATTACTACTGGACCACCATTGGTTTTTAATACTTTATTACAGAGGATGAAACTGTAATGTTTTATTAACAATGCTTCTGGAAATGAATGCATTTTAAAGCAAATAAATCTTTTTGATAGACCTTTTACAAAATCCATTTGCACTAACGAATGCTTTCTTATGGGATATGACTTAATATTTGTTACTGTGTACACTGCTGTTTTGGAATGTTCAGAAATAAAGACTATTTCAGCAATCCCAGGTCATGCATCCATGCAGCGCAAACAGTATGAATGCCACGTGTGTGTCTCACCACAGCTACAAAGGAGGTTCATTTTTCTGTGTTCTTATGTAGGGCATCTTATTTTCTAACTCGGGTGAGCAAAAATATTCAGTTTCTAAAAGTTATTTCTTTGTCTAGAATACTCTTAAGAAATGTGAAGTTTCTGTTGGTAGTGAGGTCGCGGTGCGTTGTGGAAAAGGCCACGAGAAGTCACCAAGTCTCTTGCCTCAAAGTTCATTCTGGAATCAGTACTGTTGATGGAAATTTTAATATTTTAAAGGGGTTGAATTCCTTTCTGAGTCTCCGTAAAAATCACAGAACACTGTCCTTAGTCTACATTTGATACTTGTTGGAAAACTTTTTCACCTGAAAGGTACTGTGGAAAGATTAGGCAAAGATGTCAATGTTAAATTTTAAAGTTGAGTTTTATCCGAAGGCCATTAGAGATTTCTATTTATAACTAGTGTGCCTTTCTGTGTAATTTAAAATTAAAAGACTGGCATTGAACTCACATGTTCGTTGTGAGCCGGGGGAGGAAGGAATCAAAGAGGAAGGACAATTTTTGGAGCACTTAGGTGATAAGAATATGTAGATCTTTGATTTAATCCTATCAATCACCTACTGTCATCACCCTTAACAAAATGACACTCACCCTGTGCAAACATTTAACCAGCAAATAGCCAGGACCGCTCTGACGTCTAGGATTAGGTAGCCTCATCTGTTTTTCCCACTGCTGTGCTCTCGACATGAGTACATAGTGTTAAGTTAGTCTATATTTTAAAAATGATCTGATGTTCTGACAAACTTAAATGCAGCTCATTTTCCATGCTATCAGTATATAGACTTAACAAAGCACGTCTAGCCCTTGAAAGAAACATTCTAGCTATGGAGAGAGAGGATACAAGTGATAAATATAAGTGATATGTTTAATTTTTAGAGCTGGGGGGGGGAAGGGAAGCAGAGTTAAAATAAGACCAAGGGAGAAATTGAAGTGATAAAGGTCTGAGAGCCATCTGCGCAAATGAGGTCAGATACTTTTCACTCCCTGGATGGTATCTGTAACAGTGACTATTGGGCCTATCAGAAGGAACAAAAAAGAGTGCTGTGGATAGTCGGGTAGAAAGGTAAAATGTGGAGCACTGGGGACTTCAATAAGGACTTTGAGGTTTTCATGATTTTTAGCCCTGGAATTCTTTTCTTTTTTTTTTTTCTTTTTATTTTGTCACACTCAGGGAGATTACTCCTGGCTCTGCACTCAAGAATTATTCCTGGTAGTGCTAGAAGGACCATATAGGATGCCCGGAGATCAAAGTTGGGTTGGACTCAAACCTGGGTTGGACTCAAGCCCTAGCTGAGTTCTTGGAACTCAAGGTGTCCTCCAAGGTTACAGTCATTGGGATCTTTCCTGGGGAGGATTCTGCTCCCAAGGCCAGCCACATGGTTATTGGCAGGACTGATTTCCCTGATCCTTTCATCATCTTTTTTTTTTTTGACTGTGGCTTCCAGTGAGTAGTACAAATTATGCTAATAGCATCTTTCATTGCTAAATTCAAAGGAAAAACCTTTATACCCTTATTTCAGTTTCAAATCTCTGGAAGTGATTTTTACATAAGAATATGAACAAGAATATGAATTAAATATACTTTCTGCAGCTCTTGACATTTATCTCATGCCGTCTATTAACAAGTTATCACTTCTCAGCCTTTTAGAGGAGATGAAATATAGTATCCAATCTTAGCTAGTTTAATATGCTGACTTTATGATCGATCTTCCAAGTGTAGAATGAACCAGGGACACTCCAGGAAGGTCTCTGATGTCCAGGATGAATGGAAGCTAATCCAATGAAGAGGAAGGGAAGCTTGCTTCTTGCAGAGATGGGGAAGAGTCTGGAATGTACAAATGGCTGGACCTTAGTATATTAGTGGCTAAACTGATACAATGATTTGGGAGGCTCAGTAGAAAGTGCAAATGCAAGATCAGCATTGAAAAAATTCCAGGATGGCCACAGCTGAGCATTAAACCAATCTGGCCCTCCCAAGAGATGGTGGGGCCAGCCCTGGCTGGAGGGAGAAGGGTCAGGCTGAGTTGGATGAAGAGGCAGGGATGTGATCCTGACATGATCCTGTGGAGCCTCGAGCAAACAGGACCTTGAATTTGATCCCAAGTTCAATGGGAAGCTATTAATAGCAGTCTGCTCATAATGTTCTTCATATGTGCCATTCACTGCCAAATTCTTGAGAAGTTTCTACTAATTTAATCCTGCACAGGCTGTCCAAAATGATGTTTGTGAAGTTTAAATTTATGGAGGTAACTGATGACATGGAGAGGTTAGAGCTATGAAGAACAGGTTTTTATTACATTTCCCTAGAGAGGGTGGGTCCAGCTACAGGGTAGCTGAGAGGCGCCGGGCCAGGCTGCAGAAACAGTACCAGGGGCAAAGCTTTATTGGGGTTCCCGGCAGGTTTCTCCTGTCTAGGCTTGGGATCTGCGTTATAGCTGTCTCCCCCAATTTTACTGAAGCTGGAGAGTCCTCTCTGAGCCATTGTGGTGAGACTTTTGAGAAGGGGATGAAAATGCTTTCATCAGAAGACAATTTTTATTTCTTTCTGATGATTTCTAACCCAAAAATGCTATAAATCAACATCAGTGCAACAGATCAGTTAGAGATCTATCTTCTAAGAATATTTTTGTTCCGGAATATGGTTTCTCTCGCCACTCTACAACCATCAATGTGTATGCAATGAAGGAAAAACTATCAAGGAAATAGTATTCATATGTAAAACTAGATGTAGATTTAGCTTGCTCTTCAAGTCCATGTTCTCCCTTGAACACGTGTCTCACTTGTATGTCTCTCAGATTCTTTGCTGCCCGTGATCTCTTGAACACACTTCCCTTCTTTCTCTCCTCACATCTTTCTCTCCCCTCACATCTTTCAAAATACATTTCAATAAAAACCAGCTTACATCACTTACTTCACACACACACACACACACACACACACACACACACACACACACAGAGTCAATTCAACAAGGACAAAATCAACCAGATTGAAAAAATATGGGGACAAAGGGGAGAGAGAACATGAGGAACATGTGACTTAAGGCTTCTTCCTGTCCTGGCTGGGAGCCACAGTGAGCAGGTTTGGAGTCAGGAAGTTCTGGTCTGCCCAACAGCCTGAGGGGCCAGAGAGATTTGTGTGATGGTGGATGCTGAGGGGCCCTCAGCCCTCAGCAGGAACAAGAGAGCACAGAGGCCCAGGCCTTGCATCCAGGAGGGCTGACTACAACAGAGAAAGTGTTTCACCAGCAGCTTCCTTCCCCTTACACATACACAAACTGCGTGCCTGCGCCTTGCAGTGTCCTGACAGCCTGTAGATCCCCGATAAACAGCTGTGACCTCGAGAGGTGCAGTCCTGAACCCAATCTCCCTGAGACTCTGCCTCCTCACCGAGGACTCAGCTAAAGCTCCTTCACTCTCTCAGAGAACCTAAGGCGCCGACAGCAGCAGCAGTACCCCCCAATAAGGCCATAGCATCACCCATGGCAAAAGAAAGTGATAAGGACATCTTTATTATTTTAATATAGTGGAAGTAACATAGTTTTAATAGTGTTAGGCACCTTCACCACCATCAAGGTGTCAAAGGTGCTCTGTCCCTGTAACCCAGTGGTATCTTTTTCCAACCCTGTCCCCCTTCATCCCTTATTTCCTTCCTACCTACATGGTTGGCCTCCAGTCTTGTGCTCTTTCTGTTTACATGATTTTGACCTATGCCCTTCTTAGAATGTCCTGGGGTCCACAGGGAACTGTCTGACACCTTCCCCTGCCCCGCCATAAAAAGACCAATTTTAAATAAAAAGTAACGCCAAAACCCAAAAAGTTTGATGTGGCAGACAAGTGTGCAGATTTGAACTTGTCCTATCCAGCTCATATGCTTCCATCAAGAGAGAACTACAATTCTCCAGAAAGCAGACATAAGGACACAGAAGCTTGTGACCTGACAGAACTCAAGAAGATGAAGGTCTGGAGCTACTGACATTAAACATTCTCTTCATAATTTCACTTTCATCATTAATGTGAAAAAATCACCAATTTGGTCTGTTTTGCTACCCAGATACCTTGTTATATTGATGAATAAAAGGGAGGAGGCATCAGATATGAAGTTCTTTTGTGCCACTGTCTTTTATGACAGCCCCAATACTTTGATGTGAGCCAGTAAGATGTTACCCTGAGTTCCATTCTCAATACAGAGAAAAGGTTGTATCCTGGCTTTCATATGTTCCAACAATCAGAAAAATTCCTTAAGATGCCAAAATGTGAAATGCTCTAGAACACTGGCATTAATCAACAGCTTTAGAGTAATTTGAACAGTTTGGTACTAATTTTTGTTGGGATCCACTGCTCTATCAGTCATAATTCCTTTGAACATGACCTGGTCTAATGAAATTTACCAGTGGTACCTTTCCACCTTTGTAAAGAGACTGAAACTAATTAAACTAATTAAATAACACAAAATGTGCTCACAAAACAATCTTGCCACCCCTACCTGACTTTAAAGGTTCAGTGAAGGTGTTAGGTTGTATCACAAAAATCTAAGGATTAGTAAATTTGATTCTCAATGTGCAAGAGAAAAAAAATTGTACCTATAAAAATGGCATTTTGCATGTCAGTATAGCATGAAAAGTCATGAGAAACATCCATACATATGAGAACTTTTTCTTAGTGTTGCTCTTGGCCACTTGATGTATTGGTAAAGACAGGAGTTTACAAATCTGATCGATAGTTGCAGGACAGTTATGAAGTAGTTCTAAGTTGTAATGGACTCAGGGGGCCAAGCATGTGCATTGCAAGCACTTGGTTCAAGATGTTCTGTTGCTAGTGGCCTGGTAGCCTCTAGTGCTACTGGGAGTGATCACAACAACTAGCAATAGCGGCTAATATTTTAAATCATTTCATTGGTTTCCTCATTTT